TCCAAAAAATATGAAGCAGCAAAACTGTTTCCAATATTGATATTAAATCAGCATATTAGAATGATTTCTGAGGGATCATTTGACACCGAAGACTGGAGTAACGATGCTGAAAATTCAGCTTTGAATCACAGAAATAAATGATATTTTAAAGTATATTAAAATAGAAAACAATTATTTTAAATTGTAATAATATTTCACAATATTACTGTTTTTTCTGTATTTCTGATCAAATAACTGCAGCCATGATGAGCATTACAAATCTTACTGATCCCAAACTTTTGAACAGCAGTGTATATATTTTATATTTACACATATTTACACATCCTCTTCAGAAAAATCTTTTTGGTCAATCCTATGAACCTGGACATGGCAGTTGGGCTGTTTTCTGGGCTTTCCTCCACTTCAAACATCCCCGAGGTGACATGAACTACCCGTGTTTCAGTAATAATAAAGATGCCAGACATTCTGAATCATTGATATTTTATTAAGTTTCTCCTCAGAGGGTCAGTCTGGTAGCTGAGCACGTCTCTTACAGGAATGAAAAGTGTTTTCACTAACATCTCTTATCTCACACATCTACCCACAGCACATACACACCTTAGTAATCTATCACAAACCGGTTAATGTGATGAGTATATGACCGCCCTGTGCGACAATTACATATGATTATGGTGATGCACTCACATGAATGAATATCTAGTGTGTGTGTGTTTTTTAAGTTACAGTTAGTGTGGCATGGACATGACAATTAGTTTGGCATGGCATCAGGGGAACTAGGAGAGCAGGATTTGAGCAGGCAGGAACCTGTGCGCTCTGGACTGTCTCTCTCTCTCCAGGCAGATCAGCAAGCACTAGTGACATTCACAACGACAACTGCAAAACAGCCACAAGTTACAGGCAATATCAGACAGTGGAAGTCACAGGTCAGATGTGTGAGGGATACGCTGACATTTCTCTGTTTACCTGCTCGGTCTCACTGGTAGAATTTGATCTCGGTGTCCACACAGTCGAAGAACAGATCCCCGAGCTCCTGGCCCTGTATCTCCCCCCTAAGCATGGCCTCGATCTCCTCAAGACACTGAGACTCCAGGTATCTCATAGTCTCCTGTAGAGAGACTCCAGCATCCTGACACACACACACACACACACACAGGGCTATATAAGAATATTGCAGATTCAGTGAACCTTAAGCTCAGTGAGAGCAGTTGTGGCATTTTTGATGACTACAAAAATGATTTCCACTTGTTCCCCCTTTTTAGCAAAAATATGGGTTATAGTGAGGCATTTACATGAGGAAAAAAAATTAACTTAAATGATTTTAGCAAATGGCTGCAATATAACAAAGAGTGAAAAATTTAAGGGGGTCTGAATACTTTCCGTACCCACTGTATATTTTATATTTACACATATTTACACATCCTCTTCAGAAAAATCTTTTTGGTCAATCCTATGAACCTGGACATGGCAGTTGGGCTGTTTTCTGGGCTTTCCTCCACTTCAAACATCCCCGAGGTGACATGAACTACCCGTGTTTCAGTAATAATAAAGATGCCAGACATTCTGAATCATTGATATTTTATTAAGTTTCTCCTCAGAGGGTCAGAGTCTGGTAGCTGAGCCCGTCTCTTACAGGAATGAAAAGTGTTTTCACTAACATCTCTTATCTCACACATCTACCCACAGCACATACACACCTTAGTAATCTATCACAAACCGGTTAATGTGATGAGTATATGACCGCCCTGTGCGACAATTACATATGATTATGGTGATGCACTCACATGAATGAATATCTAGTGTGTGTGTGTTTTTTAAGTTACAGTTAGTGTGGCATGGACATGACAATTAGTTTGGCATGGCATCAGGGGAACTAGGAGAGCAGGATTTGAGCAGGCAGGAACCTGTGCGCTCTGGACTGTCTCTCTCTCTCCAGGCAGATCAGCAAGCACTAGTGACATTCACAACGACAACTGCAAAACAGCCACAAGTTACAGGCAATATCAGACAGTGGAAGTCACAGGTCAGATGTGTGAGGGATACGCTGACATTTCTCTGTTTACCTGCTCGGTCTCACTGGTAGAATTTGATCTCGGTGTCCACACAGTCGAAGAACAGATCCCCGAGCTCCTGGCCCTGTATCTCCCCCCTAAGCATGGCCTCGATCTCCTCAAGACACTGAGACTCCAGGTATCTCATAGTCTCCTGTAGAGAGACTCCAGCATCCTGACACACACACACACACACACACCCACAGGGCTATATAAGAATATTGCAGATTCAGTGAACCTTAAGCTCAGTGAGAGCAGTTGTGGCATTTTTGATGACTACAAAAATGATTTCCACTTGTTCCCCCTTTTTAGCAAAAATATGGGTTATAGTGAGGCATTTACAATGAAAGTGAAAGGAGACAATCCATAATTGTTAAAATACTGACTGTTTTAATAGTATAGACACAATATGTAATCGACATGCGTGTTAACATGACTTTAGTGTGAAAAAACCTAACCTTTTCTGTTTTATATCCAGTTATATCCAATTTTACAACTTTGTTGCCATGACAACAACCTGCCATAACCAATAAAACCCTAAAACTGCTTTAAGGTTATTTCAATAGGAATCCCACACAATCTTTTATAAAATTATAAGCTTTATATTTCTGCTTTTATAACCCTTTTAAAATGGGCCTCAAATCACTTCCATTTTTTACCCCACTTAAACTTAATTTATTTTATTTATTTATTTTTAAGAAAATGAGGGACTATTTTTTGTGGTAATTAACATTATGCCACAAATGCTGTTGACTGAGCGTAACTTGTATTAAATTGAACCCAAAATATTTCTTTAAACCTAGCCTGACATATGAAATAATAGTCTGAAATATTCAAATATTTTGAAATGAAACCGTTTATTGAACCTTTAGACAAAATCAAAGTTTTATAATTTATAATTATGAATAAAATCTGACTGAAATTAAATCAGTCTTGATAACAGTATGGCAGACTACTTACATAAAATGCATATTAAAATCAGTTGATACTCTATATCTCCCCAATAATACGTCTCAAGATGAGTAATTATGACATTTAAATGCTTAGTTTTATGATCAAAGCTCTGTTGTTTTTATTCTGAGAGAAAAACAATGCAATGCAATACAATACAATTATGATTGACATATGTGACCCTGGACCACAAAACCAGTCTTAAGTGTCTGCAAGCTGAAGCTGAATAAATAAGCTTTCCATTGATGTATGGTTTGCTATGATAGGACAATATTTGGCCGAGATACATCTATTTGAAAATCTGGAATCTGAGGGTGCAAAAAATTAAATGTTCCTCAAAAGCCTGTTGTATCATATTTGATTCTCACATTTTAACCAAAAATCATGTATGGATAATCAAATAAACCTAAGTTGCTTCAGTCGAGTAAGAGTTCGTCTTCAAATATTGCTAACAATACAAATGTTATTCTTATGTTTACTTCATAAAACTGATGATTTCAAATCAAAAGGACATATGAATCATGACTTGGGACAGGTTTAGAATTAAGGCCTGTTCACACCAAGGACGATAACTATAAAGATAACGAT